CCACCACCACCACCACTACCACCAGGCTGCTGCTGCAGCCCGAGTAGAATGCGGAATCAGGTTCTGAATGTGACTTGGGCGTTACACAAGCTGTTTTGAGTGGAAGTTCGCAGACACAATAGCTTTGCTGAGAGTCTTTGCTTGGGTTCTTGTACAGAAGGTTCCCTCATGGGCAGTCAGTGCTAGTGATTCAAAGAGATTCAGCCAGGGGTCATTGGTCTTCATGCAGTTTTATGTCGCAGTAAGAACAGTGCGGCCATCCTTGGTAGCATCTCAAACTTGCAGCTACAGTGGCCTGTCCTTTGTTTTTAAGAACTATCTTCGGATGGCCTGGGCCCAGAGGATTGCTGCGCATCGGATTTGCAGGTCCTTCCCGCACATTGGCTCTCATAGTGCAAGAGTTGTGTCTGGCCATACTGTATGTTAGCATCTGGTAGGGGTCTAGGACCCGACAAACTGGTACAAAAAACAGGCATTTACCTAGGTGTCCGCAGATCAGCAAGTCACTGGTCCCCCTTCATATGGAGCTTCCTAGAAGCACTCTGCTCTACAGCCACGGAGTGTGCTTTCAGCCCAACCCTTGGTGTGTAAGGATGGTGGAGACTCATCTTGGAATGATGTGAGGACCCTAGATCAACAGCTCTCCAGACTCGCTGAGGGTGTAGATGCAACACGGTCTCGGCAGAACCATCCACGGTCGGTAAATGCAAGGTCAGTGCTTCCGGAATAGCATTGTGGGAATGCTATGATTGGGTTTCGGGCGACATGGGCTTTCAGGCTCAAGACACGGTTGATCGGAATTCTGACTGTTGGAAATTCCAGCATGCGTTATCAAGAAGGCAGCCCAAGAATCCTTGGAGTGAGAGGCCTGCCATATCAGAAAAAAATTGGCGGTCTACCCAAAACTAGTGACATCTTTTGGGGGTCATTGTCCAACGGAAGCATATGAAAGGGGCTGTATGCTGTGGGTTTTCTCCCTTATGCTCGGCAAATTGCTTTTAGGTAGTTCGTTCATTTTGTGCTTTCAGCGCAGGCATGGTTCTTCAGTCTATGCTTTGCTTTTTATGTTTGTGCTGAGGGTTTGTATTCTTATGCTGCTGTGTAGTTGAATCCAGTCCGCCATGGCTTTGCCTTATGCTGCGGGTCTTTTTCTAGATGCTGTGGGTGCTTTTCTTTATGCTCGGGCTGTTTGTTCGGAACTACGGTTAAATT